TGCTTACGTGGCCGTGGGTTTTGGATTTGATGAATTGTTGTCTTCCATTGTAGCGCAGTGAAATGTAATAGGTTCTTCCAACCAAATAAGAGATTTGACAGTTTATTATTAATAGTATAAAGTTTTTTTTATTAATTTTTAATTTATACTAACCAACCATGTTTCATCTTGTTTGTTGATCTTTCTTATTGCAATTTCTTGGTGTTTGTGGAGTTTTGTTTCAACTATCACGATCAAGATGGCTTCCGACCAAGTGCCCGTTTGGGAGGGTTTTAAGCAGCGTTTTCTTGCTAAAAGCCCCAAAAGTAATAGTCATGTTTAGTAAGAAACCAAAAGAAGTCAGAGATAAAGCTTAATTAGCCCAAAAATAACTTTGTGTGGTGAAATTATATCTTAGATAACTTTTAAATTTTAATGACTTAATCCGTGTAAAATGCAAAAACACTCCCAAACGGATACCAAGTCATCAGGCGATTGCTCGGGTCAAGGTCAACGTCAAAGTCATAGAGTCTGCTATGAATACAAGCGTACGAAATACGAAATCAATCATACTCAGGAAAAGGTGCTAGGTTTAATTTTAAAACAATGGAATCTGCTATGAATACTAAGGTTAAGGTAAGGGATACGAAATCAACCACAAGTGCACATGCCAAGTCTTCTTTTTTTATTTTGGCCTTTTTAAGATTAAGAGTTCAGTATACTATATACCCCTGCCAAGAAATCATTTATTAAGTCTCCCCTTCCCCAATTGAATTGGGAATGCCTCCAAGTCTCCCCATCCCCCAAAACAGCATCCCCGTGGGTAAATCGGAAATCCCAATCATCCCCCAATAAACAGCATCCCCGTGAATTAGGAATTCCCCTTGACACTGAACCCAATTATACAATCATATTATGAATTCTGGGGGTAGATTGAACTCAAATTATCCCTTTCTGATTTTTATTTTTTATTTTTTGAGAGGGGTGGGGGATGGTTTTTAGTTCCACGAATTGGAACCGATGGACTCGTTTCGGATTTTAATATAGGCCTTATTCATTTTTCGGTAAATTACTTACCTGGGTAAATGCAATTATCTGGGTAAGTTTTTTACCCAAGTAAGTGCATTTATACATGTTCTTTTATTTCTTACATAAATAAGGCAATTACCATTTTAGCATAAAAATCCATTATTAAAAGGGGCATTTTTGTCCCATTCAAGTGTTAGCAACTTTCTCCTAGGTGGGAAAGTTATTTATCCACCTAGGAGATGGGTATCACTTACTCATGAAAATAAACTTCCCCCCCCCCCTTTCAAAATACAAAAAAAGAATTCCCCCATAGAGTTTCGATTATTATTGGTTCAGAACTGGTTTCATCCTGTCCTGAACCAATTCAGACCCGACTTGACTTATATATGTATATGTATTTATTTATTTATTTATTATAATCGACTTTGTTGGATCAGACCCAATTGTCTTGAGAACTGATCAATTCGCTTCTAGGTCTAAAAGTTATAGACCCTATCAAGTTCGGGTCGGTTTCGAAGTCCTCAATATTTCATGTTAGATTAGTTCTGATTCTTGCTGGTCCCGACCTAGACTCAACTCATTGACAGCTCCAAGTGCATGGGTGGTGGAGGGGGG